AATACGTTAGGAAGCAGGAAATAACACACGCTTGAAAAACTCAAAAAATGTGTTACATTATATAATGGATTAAAAACAAACTGCCAACTATAATTTGTGTTTTTTCCCGCAAATTAATGCAAATTTAATTTTTTTTTAGTAGAATATTGTAATTTATTCGGTATTCAATAGTCTTTTCACAAAAAATAGAAAAGCATTTTTGTTAAAAAGATTTTTTTTTTATTTATTTGTGCCAAAATTTATACTCTATAGTTATGTCTATAGTTATATTGTCATCATATGATTTTAGGGAAGCAATTTTCTGAGATAGAATTAAGATTTTTTTCGATGATTTAAGGGAAGCGATTTCCTAAAATAAACAAAAGAACTACATTTTTTAATATTAAAGAAATAGATTTTTTTAAATTTTAAACAAATGAAATTCAGAATTTAATTATTTTTTTAAATTATTTTCTACTTATTAAAATTCTTAATTTTGAATTTAATGCCTAAAGTTTTGATATATATATATTTTTAGTAATAATGACAATTTTTATCTAATAAAACTTATGAAGTGCAACCCAGGAAGTAGTATACAACCGCTGGTTGTATTAGAATTATTTAGAATTATTAGAAGAATAATTCCAAAAAAAAAAAATCATATTATCCAAAACTTAAAAATTTCAAAAATTTTTGAAGCCGAAGTTTTAAGTAGAACCAAAAACATAGGTTGCGTCACAGGTTGCGTCATATTTATGTTTTATATCTATATATTAATATTATTTATTTATTATTATTTCATACTCATATTTATTGCGTCATAACCTAATAAACTTAATTTACTTCTCGACTTTAGTGTCAAAGAAGCAAGTTTAAGAGTCAGAAATCTATTAAACTTCCGAAAAAATCATATTTAAACTACCATTAGTTCTTATTTATATTATAGCAAACGAGCAAAGGAAATTTAAAAAAATATAAAACCATTTTACGCAATATTTTAACCGAAACTAATATAAGGCGAATGTTTACCCTTAAGTTTACAATGTTGTTGATCTTAATGTAACAATCTTTAAAAATAATGTTATGTTTTACACCTTCACCGATATCTTTTTTCAACAATAAACAAGTGAGCAAAAATAACAAAATAATATAATAAGAACATTATAATAAAAACAGCAACGGAAGTAATAATAATACTAATAATAACAACAACAACAATAATTATATATCTTTAATGATACTTGATAATATAACGACCAACCAATTTTCATAATTATAAAAAAATCTAAAAAATCTAATCGTGACTTCAAAGCTTAGTTATTAGTCAAAGTAAAGTTATTCAAAGCGTAAAAGAAAAAAAAACAAAAACTTTGTAAAACTTGATGACGTAATTATCGAAGTTTTATCAAAAACAACTCATTTACAAATGATTTATTTAAAATACTAAACAATAAATTTAAAATAAATGACTTATAAGGAATTGAGTAGTTAAAAAAATCTTATATTGTTCTATAAATCTAATAAAACTCTCTATTTTTTTTATCATGTATGTTTATTATTTAATTTAGTAATCAGCAAAAGATTCAAAGGAAAAACAATCCATGACATCTTAGAAGTAGTTTTGGATGAATGGTTGTGATTTATTTATACAGAATAAAAACGATTCAGAAAAAAATACACTTATATCAATATGTGTTCTATATATATATATATATATATATATATATATATATATATATAATATATATATATATATATATATATATATATATATATATATATATATATATATATATATATATATATATATATATATATATATATATATATACATATTTATATATATATATATATACATATATATACATATTTATATATATATAATATATATATATATAAATATGTATATATATAAATATGTATATATATATATGTATATATATATATATAAATTTGTATATATATATATATATATATATATATATATATATATATATATATATATATATATATTATATATATATATATATATATATATATATATATATATATATATATATATATATATATATATATATATATATAAATGTATATATATATATATATATATATATATATATATATATATATATATATATATATATATATATGTATGTATATATATATATATATATATATATATATATATATATATATATATATATATATATGCATACATATAAAGAGATAGAGAGTTAACAAAAGATAAGTAAGCAAAAGAATGCTAGATCGAAGTTTTACATTCAATGTAATGGGAGTAAAATTTTAAAAAATATTTATATTGTATAAGTTAAAAATGAGGTTCTGTTTATTCGTAGCTCTCTATAACTTATTGTAGATTCTACGAGAAACTAGTTGTGAGTAGATTAAGACTCTATCTGTTCTATTCTACCTTAGGGGTCGTCCATAAATTACGTCACTCTATAAGGGGGAGGGGGTTGGTAGTTTTGTGACGACTGATACAAAACTTGCTTCTTAAGTGTTACGATTTTGTGACGACGGGGAGGGGGGGGAGGTCAAAATCTGTCAAAAAATGCGTGACGTAATTTATGGACAATCCCTTATAGAATTGAATTGATATAAACTATCTTGCAATATTGAAATAAAATTTTAAGATAAAATATTGGAAGCTTATTTCAACTTATACAGTAGTAGTTTATATGTATGTATGCTTCATTACAACTTTGGGTGGCTTATTTCAACTTATTTTAACTAATCGGGGCTTATTCAAACTTATACTGTAGTATGTTTATATGCAGTAAACTTCATTATAACTTTCAGGATTCATATTTAACAGCTATCTAAGAAAACTCCACTTTCACACTCTTGAAGTTGATAAACATAAAAAAAAAAAAGTAACGTAAAGTTTCGTATTTCAGAATTTAAAAATGTGAATCAACCATTATTTATATGAAAACGAACGCGGATGAATAATTGAATGAACAAATCAATAAATAAATTAAATGAACTTTACTTAACAATAACAAATGCATTTTCGGTTTTCAAAGTTGAAAAACACATGCATTTATGCATATGTATTTTTACAATGAATAGTAAAAATACATATGCATAGCATAAACACATATGCATAGCTAATAATTCCATAGGCATACTTTATTAAAAAATATAAGTATATCTTAAACGTATACCTTAAAAAAACGTTTAAATAATAAATGGTTTAATGATATTAATACAATTTGTTTTTATAAGAAATTGAAAAGTATGTATCATCTTCAATATTTTTATTTTTCCAAGACTTTTAAATAACAATATTTAATTAGTATGCCATTTCATAAAAATGAAACTTTACACTCGTTATTTTTACTGTGTTTTTGTTTACAGTGTAAATAAGGGATTTTGTTTTGATTACATAATAAATAATATATATCAATATTTATGTACCTGTTAGTCATTAGTTGGCCTCCGCAATAATGCTTCAAAGTTTTATAACATAACAAGGTAAACAGCAATTAATATTAACAAATATTGTACCGAAGTAATTTGAATTATTAGCTTATTTCTGAGCTCTTGTAGGTTTGACTTAATAAGTTTTTCATTTTAAATCAACTATATATGCTTACATATTTTGTGCATAGTTTAACATGTTTACAAACTGCATTACAGAAAACATGTAAGTCTTGTGAGGCTAATCAATTAAACAGCTAATAACTTCTTGCACATCATAATTTCATTTTGAGGGTTGCACTCAAATAAAGAATATGGGTTAAAGTAATGAATCTTTGGTTTGTAAAAAATGTAATTTCAATGAGTTTTAATTGGTTATCTTAAACATGATTTCACAGAAACTTATTAAAAATTTTATCTAAAAAAAGTTATACGGCTAGAAATACTTGCATTATTTACATATATAAAGTGACTAATAACTTGTCACAGATCACAACTTTATTTCTAAGTTTACACCAGAATAAGGAGTATGGGTAAAAGTAATATTGAGTATTTATGAGTCGTAAAATTGAAAAGTTATACACAATTGCAGTGCTGTGGCTAGTGGGTTCGTGGCACCCCCACCCCAAAAAAACTATCATTAGGACACATTACTTTAAAAAAATAAAGCTTTTTAATTTCCAAAATAGCCCTCTTAACTCGCTGCCACTACCCCCCTCCCAATTAGGTGTTTAGGGTAGTCTAGCCATGACTCTGCACATAGGAGACATATGAGTCGTAAAATATAATAGTAATACAAATACGAGTCGTAAAATATAAAAGTAATACGCATATGAGTCGTAAAATATAAAAATAATACACAAGTGAGTCGTAAAATATAAAAATAATACACGTATGAGTCGTAAAATATAAAAGCAATACACATGAGTTTTAATTGGTATCTAAATATAATTTCATAACATGGTAATGTAAAATTTACACCCCTCTAACCTGTTTTTTAGTTTACTTCCCTTTATTTCGTCTTTCAAGTTTACATCCCTCTAAACCCTAATTAAAGGGGATTGTAAATTTTTTAACAAAAATAAAAATTTAGATTTTTGTATAGATTGTTGTAAAGTATGAAGCAAGTTCATCTGCACTACTATACGTACGTATTACACGTATATTTATTAAACGTATAATTTTCGTTTTGATTAAAATGGAGAGAATTATTCCATTAAGCTCGCTTTGTATTATTCAAGAGGAAGCCGATCAATATTTTTTAACAAACATTTTTGCGTTTTCCGAAAAATAATCAGGTTTTTAACACTGATTATTTTAATATTATTAAATTTTTATTTTAAATTAATTATTACTATCATTTTTTTTCTAAGTTAATGATTTGTTTTCTTTGTTATGATGCCACAAATAATTTAATTTGTAATTACATTTTACACATTTTTTTTGTAGTTTTACTATTTACTTATAATCATTTTTATTCTTTGTATTCGTTATGTAAACTAAATTTCAAATTTAATTGTAAATAATAAAATAGAGCTTAATAAAACATAAAAAAACATTTATAACAATTTAATTACCTCTTTTAAACCAATAACGAGGTGGATCATAAGCCCCCTCGCAGTTACTAAACTCAAGTAATATCTCTAACTTGTAAATCCCATTTTCGTGTAATGTAAAAACTCCTTGATAAGTCCCATTTAAAAAATCTATTATAGGAACAAGAAAAAAGACAGGTTCTACCACTCTAACCCACCAAAAATCACCTCCATTTTTTCGAGTTCGTCCTAAATTATCAACTGTGTGAATAGTGAGAACGACAAAGTCTGGCTTCACGTCTAGTTTAAAAGTAGACAAACTTAGATTTGTTAGAAGATCTGGGTTAAAAATTCTATTTTCCCAAAACATCGTATTACCGCAAGCTTGAGTAAGCTCACTGTAGCTCGGCTGGCGACATTGCGGTAGAACATAGCTATCTATAACTTTTATGATTTGAAATCGATTGTCAGCAGGAATAATATATTTATATAACGCAATATAAGCGACAAACAGTGTTAAAAATAAAAAAAATTGAAAACTATATAAATAAAATAAAGTCCTCTTTGCATTGGTTGTCATATTAGACATTTAGTCTTTATAAAGAATTTGCTTTCAATTCAAGATTTTTGTTGCTATGTTTCATATGCACTAACGCGAAGAATTTTTATTTGAATATTGATAAAAAAAGCCGAGGTGAACCAGGTCAAATAGATAACACAAATTAGAATTAAGCAATTAAATGAACATGTTCGAAATATAGAATTTTAGTTTGATGTTCTTTCATTTCACTCTTTGTAAAAGTAGGATTGCGTAATCTTAATTCCATATATGCTTCGCTTTAATATTGCAAGTACCTAAAAAATACCTTACGAATATCAACTCATGTTTTCTTTGTTAAGACAATTCAGTCTATACACCTGTAAAACAAGCGAAAACGTCTTATTTTGGTACTTGTTTATAAACACATATAAAGAAGACAAGTGAAAAATTTTCCAAAAAAAATTTTCAAAGAGAAGTTTATATAATTGAATTCTAAAATTATACTTATGAAAGAAAAATTAAGTAATCAGTCTTTTAATTTTGTTCTTTATACAGCTGCACTTTTGTTACTCGTTTACCCACGAAGCCAGCAAATATTCGAACACGAACTAACTTTGAGACAATTATAGGTATTTAAGAGTGTAAGTAATTTTTATTTATTTAAATAAAAAGTATTATTATTTAAATAAAAAGTTTCATTGGGTTTAAGTATATATTGATTTAACATCTTAGTTCCCATAAAACGAATCAAAATAAAGGAATACAAATAAAAAAGAACCTTTTCTATTTTTTTTTTCTTCACACAAGCGCTTTGTTAAAAAAAAAAGAAAAAAAAAAGAAAAGATAAGTCGCGCATTTATAAAGTTAAGGATAAACTTTTGTTTGAAGACAGAAAGCATTCAGTACCATAATCCGTTTGAAAAAGTGCTTTCAGCTAAATAATATTTTCATTCATCAAATACGTTTAAAAAACGTCTTGAATCTAATAACTTGTACACGCAAACAACACTCGAAAATTTTTTATTTGCATTTACATAAAGAAAATATACAAACCTAGCAAGCTAAAATATACATTAATTTTGAATATAATTAATTTTAATATAAAAAGTGTTTTCACAGTTATTAACAATGGTTCTTTAGATACATTTTTATATATCAAGACTAGCGTTAATTTGAAGGCAATAGCGCGATGCAAGAAATACCCTGACTGTTGAACGCGCACACCAAACCATGAAGATCAAATAACCATGCAGAATTTCGTAATACACATTCGAAGCGTAACACCCGATAAAAAGATTTTTAGTTCTGCGGGATTATTGAGACCATTCACGTTATGACTAGTTTCTCGTGTCATTAAGAGAGACTGTCAACTTCTCAGATGGTTTTTAATTGTCTATAAGCTAAAATTCCTCTCTAAAACGGTCAAAAAAGACGTTCTACAAAATATTTTTTGTCCGATAAGTAGAGTCACATTATACGCAGGTAATATCCAGAGATGGTATTGCTTGCAAAGTAGGCTTATAATTAGTTGAAACAGGAAATGAAGTCTGTGTCGTTATATTCTCTAACTTTCTCTTTCGTTGATTGTTTTTATCTACAATGACTTTTTCACCTGATTTATCTATAGATTTTTTTTTATTACTTGATTGCGTAACAAGAAGTAGCGATAAAGATGGATTGAATTTGATAGAGAGGATAATGGCTGCCTGTATTGACAAAACCCTTTGTTGTTTTTTTAAACCGTCAAACATATCCCAGTATATACTATGCTCCCAAAGATGCTTTTTGACACATACCTTGCTTTTATAGTGTTTACCTAAAAAATTGTAAAAATATAGCGCGTGATAAAATATAGTTATCACCTAGTTACTAAAATTTTTAAAGTAAAAGTTATTAAATAAATTACATAGGAATGGAAAGCAAGGTATATGTACAAGACAAACCACATAAACTGGTAAGAATGTAAAAAATCAATGAAAATACAAGATTTTATAAAAAGAAACTAAAATCTATTAAAACCCGCTGTAAACTATTTCTTACCACAGATAACACAAGCAACTTCTTCAGTTTCTTTTAGATCATAATCTTGGAAAAGTTCTTTTACACCATCTAATTCTAAATTTCTTATTGTACTATCCAAAACATGACTATTTTCAGCAGAACATTGCGATTCGTCGCGCATTTTTTTGGTAAGAGGAATTCCATGAAAAAGTTCAGTTTCTACATTTAATTCTGTAACTAACATCTTTAAGATAGACACTAAGAAACGTATTAAATCTAAGAAAAACTACCAGCTTTAAAAAAAACACAAGCGACTTCGAGAAAAATATCGAGATCAAAAAAAAAAAAAAATTCTGCAGCACGAGGAGATTTTTTTTTTAACGTTAAAAACAAAAACAACAATGGACATAAATATACATGATTGGATAGTTATTGCAGCTGCGTTTGAATAAAATTCTATGATTGGTTTAAAATACTACGACTTTAGTGGTAGTATGAAAACAATGAATGAATTTTTTCACCCAATCAAATTAAGAGCATAGATACTTTGGCGCGGAATATTAAAGATTTTTAAAAAATTTTTTGCAGCAAACTTTTAGAATTCTGAAAGAAATTTAAATAATTTTTTTTTCTTATTTCAAAATTTTATTATTTAAAAAAATTTGGCCTGATAAACTTTTAGCATATTTAATGTAATCAAAATTAAAAAATGTATCAAATAACAAAATTACTTTTTTTTAGCTATAAAAACAAAAAAAAACGAAGATGAAAGTAACATTTTTTATTTATACAAAGAAAAGGATATTTTATTTATACAAACAAAAGGATATTTTATATTTTATACAAAACTTGAAAAAAAGTATGAAAATAAAAAAATTAAATATATTAATCATTATATAACAAATACTCCGTAAAAAAAAAATTATTTGCTTAGTGGATCGTCAAAAATAGAAACCGGTTCAGTTTTTTTAATAGGTTTCGAAATTTTCTTCGCTGATTTGGTAGTTTTCGGTTGAGTAGAAAATATATCTAAGATAAAAAATCAACTTGTATAAATGCAAAAAAAAAAAAAAAAACTAGAAAATTTATTACTCATAATTTTTTTTTTACAAAAAGTTGTAGAATCTTATTAATAACAAAAATGTAATTAGTTATAGTCTAATATAGTTATAATCTAGTCGTTGCTAGATTATTTCTAGATAACCCAAGGAATTATGAAATAATTAAATAAAAAACGAAAAAAGTAATTAAGTATTTTTGTTATTTTTATCCAACATTTTGGGTAACGTCGGAGTTTTTTAAACGTCGGAGTTTTTTAAAACTGTTAGCTATTAAAAGAAAAAAAAAAAAAAAAAAAAAGCAATTATGCTTTTAATTAATAATAATTTATCGAAATTTCAAGCAAAAATAGGTTTTAATAAGTTATTATGCCAAAAGTGATGAAGTGAACTCTGCGGTGTAAAATTCGTAACAAACTGTTTAAAAAATTCATAAATGAAATTTTGATAACAAAAACAAACTAAAAAATTGAGTAGTAGCTTTATTGCTGAGTTTTCTAAATAAAAAGTATAAAACTTGATTTTATAAGTTTTTATTTGAAATTAAATGAGTTATCACAATATACTTTCTTAACATTAATTCGTAGAATAATCCAAAAGACGTGTTTTTGGGTTCTATTAAATTCTTTTTTAGAAACCAGGTGATTAAAGTCTTACTTTAAATAATCACAGCGGTTATATCTCCGTTGTAAGAAACAAATAAAAAACATTCCTATTGCAGAATTAAACGCGCTGGAGCCATATTGAAAAAAAAAAGAATAGAATTTTAAGAAACTTTATATAAACGACTTAAATAAGCTATCATAACGATTTTAACGCTTTATTTAAAATTTATAAGTAGAAAGATACATAAAATTTTATGAAGATACACGTTTCAGTGATTTTTTTGGGTAACAACAATATAAATATTACATAGTTACAAATAATGATATAATTGAAAACGCTACATCAAATTTATTAAAAACTATTTATCGTATATTTAAAAAAATTATTAAGATTAAATTTTTTAAAAATAAAATTATTTCAAACAAAAAAAATCTAGCGCTTTTTGTTTGAAATAACTTGTTCTTGTTTTTATTTTTTAATAAACATTTTTCTTTATATAACAAGAGGTGCTATTGACAACTTCTCAAGTAATTGGTCCTAAACAACTAGAAAACCTTCAAAAACAGAGATGAAATACAAATACTTGAGTATATAAAAAAACAATAAAATAAAAGTTACAAAATGTTAAAATATTTTAAAAATGAAACTATGGAGCGAAAAGAAAAAAAGTTTTTTTTTTTCGAGCAAGCATTTTTAAAAACCTTTTTTATACCGTACAAAAAAATTCTTGCACTTACGCTATTCTACTTTTCGATTTTTTTGACTTTTACAAAAAGCGTTAAAAGTAATTTTATAAAATTATCAAATTAACTTATAAATTGTTAGTATGGCAAGATTTAATCATTCTTTGCATTTTTCACAACAAACGGAGCCGTTTTTTACCATAATTTAAACATTTAATTAAAACATTAAAGTCTTTTCTTAATTTAATTATTTTTAATTAGTCTTCAAACCTATTGCAAAACTATGGAAAAAAAAACAGATTACCAATTACAAATATTTGCCGCCAATTCCTATCCGATTACTACGACTAAAGATGGAATAATCAAATAAATCAGATTGCTTTTTTATGAATCTACGAATCGTATTGCTTTTTTTTGTCTTTAGATAACAAATCGAAAGTAAATAAAAGAGTTCACAGTTATAGATATTTACTAGCTTGTTTACTTTAACGTTTTAAATTGAAATATTTTTGAGGCACCAAAAACAAAACAAAAAAAAATTAAGCAAGACGTTACTGCAAAGATAAATATTAAACTTGATTTCATAAATAGCTGGAACCGAAAACATAGCTTAACCATGTTCAAGTTATTTGACAGCTAAAGAATCTATTTATTGAATCAAATGCGTATTCAAGCATTGGTCTAAAACGAGTATCATATATTAACTTAAAAATATACGTGCTTTAATTCTTAATTGCACGATCTAACGATCCGTAAAATCACCCTTTTTAAATTGTCTCAAGTCTCTTTGAAAATTTCTATTAGTTTTAATTTCATTTATTTCGTATTAAAAACGCAATAAACGCATACTAAGCGTGAATAATATGATAAAAATTCAAATATGCAAGCTGCTTACTAGACTACCCAAACATTGGGAGGTCTAGAGATAAATAGTCAAAACAAAAAAAAGTAATTTGTGTAAACTTGTTAGGAAAAAAAAAATCCTCTACTTTATTTTTGTAATTTTAATTTTCAAACTTTGTTTTAGAATTTTTTATTCTAAAACAAAGTAATTTCAAATTATTGATAAATTATTTAACCAAAAATGCATAAAAATTACAAAAGGTCAAAAGTATTTGTGCTCAAATCACCAACACAGTTGGTTTACTAACCAACACAGTTGGTTAGTAAAGCTGTTTCTTGTTTCGATTAGCCCATTATCACATGTCAAGACAGAAGCACTGAATAAATTAGTACTTTTAAATAACATCAAACTTTAAAAAATATATACTATAGTTGCAAACAAAATATTTCTTTACGCCATTTTTATTTTTATTAGAAGCAGAAAGCGTTATAGATCTTGAAGGCACAGTAAAGCTTAATAATAAAAAAAAAAGAACTTAATTGTTCAGTTTAGTGTTGAAAATTTCCGACCATAATATTTTGCGGAACATGTAACAGAAGAAATAAGAAACAAACAAATTAATAGTTTATTTGTTTTAATACTTGTTCCGCAAAATATTATGGTTGAAAATTTCCGGAAATTTTGCGGAAATTTTCAACACTAGTTCAGTTGCTTATACAGTTTTTTTTTTTAAAACTCTTTTATATTATAGTTTGTTCAAGTAAAGATTTTACTAATTATAGCAGCTGGAGAGTATTTAGCAAATCGCATTTCTTTTTTTTTTAAACTTTTCTTAAACAAAAATGTTGATTAGATATACGGTAATCCTCCAGTTAAGCGTCCTAAAATAGTTTTATTTTTTTGTTTCTAAAAATAACGTGGAGAGTATAGAATTGCATTTCAATAAATTTATAATACAAATAGTAATAACAATATTTACACAGTAATTGATATATTTATTTAAAAATTATTATCAACATTAATGAATATTTTAATTTTTTTTAAATTTTTAAAAATATATATGGGTATGCGTGTTTGTGCGTGTGATTTAATTTAAAAGTTTGATCCCAGTATAATTATGTAGGGAAATGTGAGCATAATACTTTTCTTTCTTCTAAAACCTATGATTCCACACTTAAGTGATTTGAACAGATTTCCATAATGCCACTGTTTTTTAAACACTAGGCATAAAGTTTAAGCAATTGTTTATGCCCTTCCTGGCACTAACTTATTTTGTAACAGATAAGTACTGAGTATTTTTGTGATACCACTAAAGACTATCATCTAAAGTTTACAAGCTCCACCTACACCTAGCCACAATCAAATTAGGGGTTTTATAAAACCAATTTTCTTAACAAATTTTCTTTAATCGATTGTAAAAAAACTCTTATATATTTACATTAATGCGGGATGTTCATTACATTACAATGCGGGATCTTCATTACATTTAAAAAAAAACATGTATTTCGTTGCAAAACTTGCAAGTGTATATTATTTTATGTGAAAATGACTGCAAATATAATTAAAAAGGTGATCTTACAAAATTATCCTTACATTTGAAATTTTCTTGTTAAACACAAATTAAAGAAAAATACACATAATCTTATCTTGTAGATAAGAATGTAGTTTGTTTAAAAAATAGCAATGGAACAATAGTTGGACATTAGAAAAAAGAAAAATTTGTCTGTCTAGAAAAGTCCATATTTCATTATTTAAAAGTCACCCCTCAAGCAAATCGAAGAGTTAAAAAAACCGGCAAAAAATATAGCCTTACTGATAAAGTGGGTTTACAAAGTCTCTGTTTTGCAATTTTTTGGAGAATGAAAGTTTATATTACTTTTGAAAGAACAATTTAGTTTATTAAAAAGAAAAAAATTTAGTTCTTTTAAAAAAAAATTTATTTTTCCCCTAAAGTTAAAGTTTATCAATAAAAAATATTAATCAAGGGACAGGTAAAATGGTTAGATAAGTTATAAAATGGTTTTTACGTGCAAATGTTAAGGTTTAACAGGAGCTCAAAAATAGAGTTTGAGTTAACAGAAGTTAGAGTAATTAGGGATAAAATACTAAAAGTATATGTTAAATATATTTTATATGACAAACTAATTATTATGAGAACAAAATAATTATTTCTGACTAAAAATATAAATATTAAAAAATATTACCATCAATCTCATTAGTCTGTCCAAAAATATCATAATCAACCTTTTTGTTTTTATTTCTTTTTGATGAAGGAACAACATCATCAAATATTGATTTTTCTTCGTCAAACAGATTTGCTGACTTTTTTTTAACCTTTTTGACAGTATTTTCCTTTTCAACTGATAAACTTTTTTTAGTCTGGTTTTTACTAGAGAATAATTCGTCATCACTAGTTTCATCAATCTGCAATAAAAAACCATTGAATTAATAAATACAGTAGCCATAATAATGATGTAAGAAATATTACAGATTTTAAAAGAAATCCAAAATGTTTAAAAGATAAACTTTCTCATGCTATAAACTTTATTTTGTACCTAAATCAATTGTTAAAATATATTCATATCAAAGTATAGAATTAATTTATATAAATATAATATATAAATAGGGTTTATTATTGCATTGTGACTTATAACTGTTTAGATTTTAAGCTGCAGACTTTCTAAAATCCAAGCTGTTATAGGCCACTCAAAACAAAAGATTAAAGCTTTAATCTTTTGTTTTGAGTGGCCTATAACTGCTATACTTTTATAGTGAGAATTACTTTTGAAGTAATTCTCACTATAAAATAGAGTGAGATTTACTTTAAAAGTAATTCTCACTCTACTTTAAATTATTCAATGAATTTGGTTTTACACAAATAGCTGTAGTCTTAATTGAAAATATATTAGAACATTTGGTATTCCTATGATCTGGAGTGATCCACAAAATCATTTCAAAGATCATTTTTTTTTTTTTTGCATTAATCTTTCTCTAACCGCCAATAGAACCGCTAAAAAAAAACTGATGACGAACTGAGTTGATCAGAGATATTTACATATAAAATTAGGCCTCATTTAACAGTTTTTGAAAGCACTTGACAAAGATTGTGATGCAATAAATCTTTTATAGACCAAATTCCCCAAAATAAGTTCTTCAAATGAAACAGAAGGTGTTTTCATTAGACTACAGTTAAAGCTGCTTCTCAATCAGCAATTTGATGACACTTTAATACCAGTTCAAAAAGTATCATGGCTGTCTATTCAAAATGTTTTCAAAGATATTCTTGGATGACATAAATATTTTGAGTCTCTAATCAAGAATATGATGAAAAACTATGAAAGCATATACTATTATGTTACTCAAGCTTCATTTTTTTGATTCTTTTTATTTTGGGTGACAGGAATAGTGTCAAAAAATGAACTTCAGAATGGTGTCTAATATATTAAATAGGACTAATGTCACAAAAAAAAGGAATAGTTTCACAAATAAATTTAATGAACAGTGTTGAAAAAAAAAAAGAAATAGTGTTGCAAATAGTAAAAATGGAATAGTGTCGTTAATTTCAGCAATTGCTTGTTTTGCTTATCTTTATAGCATAAATCTTTTAAAGAAAAAAAAAAAGAAAAAACAAAGAATAATGAAAGAAAAGATTGCTACTAAACCCAAAACCCTCAGTCGATGTAGCGGCACTCCTTTGCGTCAGCAGGCTATAAGATAGTTGGTGTATGTACTGAACCCTTGGCAGCAGGCTATTTCAGTATGATATCAGACCTGTTATCTAAAAGCATATTTATAGCTATTATTATTTTTTTATTCTTGTTACTATTAATTAAACTCGTTTAGGACATTATTCCTTTTTCTATTTTCAACACTATTCATTAAATTCATTTGCAACATTGTTTCCTTATTCTCTTATTCAACAATCAATAACGCAATAATTTGCAACACTATTCCTTTTTTACATTTTCAACAATCAAATTTTTTGGTCACTATTCCGCCACACCCTATATTTTTTCCTGGAAACATTTGTGATGTACCTGATGAACATGGTGAATGATTTCATTAATAAGTGAGTTGAAAAATTATTATAGAGGAAAAGCTTCACCTTAGTCACTTCATTACTGAAGATCCAATGTGATGACCATTTTTAAGATTGTACAGGCAAGACTATTTTATATACATACTGGTAATATTGCAATTTACATTATGCATACATATATACATACATATTCAACCCAAATAGAAGTGTATTCATCAAAAGACATAACTATATCATTAAAAAAAAAAATGATTTTTAACTAAATTTGCATGTTAAACGTTAAAACTAATGCTTAAAGTGAGTTTGGTGCCTAAAAAAATTCAAATTCGGCTCCTATAAAATTAATAAAGTCCAAATGATATTGTTTTGGTAAATTTTATCAAACTTCGTTGGTTAAACAAAGTTTATAAATTTTTTTTACCAAAACAAAGGAAAAAAAAGAATAGAGTTATAGAGCAAGAAAACAGTTGACATAAGACTTGAAAAGTTTTACGTTGTATGAGTCAGGAAAACATGAAGATGGAAGAGAGTTCTAAAGGGTTAAAGTGAAGGGGAAAAAATCAAGAAGAATAAACGTTTTTAGAGCATGCAAGGACAATTACAGTAAATAAGACTTAGCTGAATAACGAGTCACACAAAAACAAGTTTTAGTTAATAGAACTAGAGATGATAACTCCTTTGAGGAGCAACCATGATAGCATTTGAGAAACAGATAGGAAACAGATGCAACTTTACAATAATGGGAAAGAAGCTCAAGCTTAGCAGATAGAGCAGGTCTAACTATGTTTACAGTGCACTTTTGGACCTTGTCTAGAAGAGAAAGAGCATCATTAGAAGAACCAGCCCAAATATGACAACAGTATTCCATACAGGGACGAATAAGAGATTTGTAAAGGTAGAGAATGAAATCAGGTGTAAGAAAATGGAAAATCATTAATGTAGATAAGAAAAACAGGACCAAGGATAGAACCTTGAGGTACCCCAGAAGTTGTTGGAAATGAAGAAGAGCATTGGCATTTGAGGATAAGCTAATATAGCTGTTAGAAAGAATTAATTTGATAATCTCGAAAACTTTCCAAAATACACCATAGGAAACAAGCTTATGGAGAAGACCTGCATGCTAAATTTTGTTGAAAGCTTTAGATACTTCTAGAGCAATATCTCTAGCCTTTCTGCCTCCATCTAATGCACAATAAAATCTTTCAGTCACAGCAGTTAGCAAGTCAGATGTTAAGCAAGAGGATAGAAAACTGTATTGATTGTCTGAAAGTAAGTTATTTAACTCAAAATGGGGTGTGGGAAATTTGTTAATAAAGTCTCAACGACCTTGCCAAATTGGACGATAATTGGAAGGGTCAGAATGTTCTCCGGAGTTTTTGATAATCGAAACTATAGATGCCATTTTCCAGCAAGCAAGAAAGCAAGACTCAGTCAAGCACTTATTGTTCAGAGAGAATTGAAGCAATTTCTGGAGATCAATCTTGTAAGAATGTGACAGGAATGTTGTCTGGACCACAAGTGGTAGAGAAATTTAATTGAGGTATGCAGGCTTGGTCGGGAAGTGGGTGCGATCGCACTCGATAACTGACCATAGAAATAATATTTATTGCGAAAAACCGGCCAGATTTTTTAGTCGTTTTGAGAACATTTAAATTTATGTTGGTTTCCTTAATTAAATTCATTATTTTATCGTAAATTTTGTTTTACGGACATACATGAAAACATACATAAACTTGAATGTTCTCAAACATCTTTGTGCTGAAAATAAAAAAAGAATATTTGTGAACACAAAAAACCGGCCAAATCTACAAACAACTAATGCTATTGGTTCAAAAAATACTAACCCAAAATTCTAGAGTATTCTGTTGAAATATTTTAAAAAATTCTATTATTCGAGTTTTGTTATGTTTTCGTTGAGATTTCTAGCATAAATTGTTTTAAGAATATACTATCAAACAAACTATTATTTTAATTCTCGTTGCCACATCTACAAAGCTATAAATGTTTTAAACTAACATTATTTGTTTACAAAAATAAATGTTTTAAATTCATCTTTTTTAACTTATCAAGTTTTTGTAAATATATTATAGGTTTTATTAGTATATTCTTATTTTTATATAATGGATGTATTTTTTATGTATGTAATGTATTTTTATGAATGTGTTTTTTTGTGCATTTAATTTTATGTATGTGTATTTTATTCATATGTAATCTTTTAAAGCAGTTTGTGCGATTGATTTTGTAAACAAAAATACTTTCAATAATAACTGTGTTTTTAATGAAATTATTAATAATCATCAAAGTTAATACAAATAATTTTAACCACTAATCAATTTTCCTCAGTGTAACCGATAACTGATTCTTTCCCTAAAGAAAGAAAAGTTTTTAAGTTCTTAGAAATTGGTTTACTAACTTTACTTATTTTTGCTTCAGCCATTCTTACAAACTTGTTATACTTAAACTTAAAGTTACTTTTTTCTGTTTTAAATACTAATTAAAATTATAAAGCCCACTTATTAAACATCTTCAGCATTATTGTGAAGCAGTTCCGCTTCCTCCTCACATAGTAATTTAACGTTTTTAGTTAATTTCTATTTAGCTAATTGAATTTCTGAAGTAACTCAATGATTTAATTATTTCATTTGTTCATCTTACTAAGGAAAATTGTTTCAAATGTGTTAAACTTTTCAAACTACGCAAAGCATAAAATAGTTATTGAAAAAACTTTTTTATTTATAAATAAATCATCTAGCGTTAGTTTTATTGGTTGAATCTTGTTGGACATTTCAGGGCCTTTTTTATGTGCCACAGCGTAAAAATGACAAAAAAAAATACCGAATGGTCCTCTTAACTATTTTCCAGCCCCCAACATTGTGAGTCTCGAGGCTATAGCCCTTCTACTCCCCCCCCCCTACCTCCTCAATCCAGCACTGGAAATAAGACATAAGTATATAAATAAAAATTATATATATTCTTTGATAAATTGAAGAACATTTGTTTCCTAATTAAACAATCATTAATAGTATTTTGTTGCTTTATACAAAAAATGTCACTTAATTTTATTAAAAAAATTATAAAAGAGTGATGTTTCAAAAATATTTGCTCTAATCATATTTATTTTGCTTAAAGTTTTTTCGCGTCTTTTTTAAGTCTCTCATCGGTCCAGTTAATCTTATTGCGCTTTTTAGTTTGTTTTTGAAATGTTTTCAAAACGACTAAAAAATCTAGCCGGCTTTTTGCAACTAAATATTATTTCTGTGGTCAATTATTGAGTGCGATCGCACCCGCTTCCTGACCAAGCCTGGGTATGACTTTAGCAAGTGAAGCTAGAGTGATTTGAATGTCTAATAATGAGTTAACCTGTTTAATTGGAATGAAAGGAAGA